AAGCAAGATGTCAAAATTTTTGAGTTTGTTGATTTCTAATTATTCAAAATGATTGAGTTTCATTCCTTTATTTTCTACACGTAGAATTTCGAAATTATCATCAAAACTACGGTTTTCTTCTAATATTCAAATTCAACATACGCCAACCATATATTAGAAGAACACCATAGTTTTGATGATAATTTCGAAAATCTACATGTAGAAAATAAAGGAATGAAACTCAATCATTTTGAATCATTAGAAATCAACAAACTCAAAAATTTTGACATTTTACTTAACGATCAATTAGACCTCAATAGTTCACCATTGTTGATTTTGTTTTCTTAGTAGTTGATAATATTCCTTTGCAATCAACCCTTTGAAGTTAATCCGGTACACTGCATTTTATTATAGATATTGTGCCTAACTTCCGGAAATAGAGGTTTATCCTCGGGTTTATCGTATCTGTCCACAGGTAACTAATCCTTCAAGTTGGGAAAGTAGGATATATAAAGGTTAGGCAAGCCACGTGGTTTAGTTCATTGTACCAGTATATCACCTGACGAAGCTACTGTGTAGGGAAACATGTTGGTTGTTTAAGAATTTTGTGGAAATCTTATCGTTTGTGAAGTTTTTACATTTGAGAATAAGCCTTGAATTTAGATAATTAAGAATTTCTCACTATATTTCTTATTGATCCGCCTTGTAAATGTGTAGGAATATTTTTAATATCATGAATTTTCATATTAACCCTGTTGCTGACAGAGTGTTTCATCACACAATAGTTTAAATTTCACCAACATTCATTATTTACCAATATTCAGCACTATTTATTGACTATAAAAGCTGTGGACCTAATTAGTAGGTAGCTAAAAAAAAAGCGAGTGCAGAATGTTTTACAATTATTCTTGTAACTAGTTTACGAGCCTGTTTGCAAATTTTTCATCCAATGACGAATTATAATCCAGGATATCAAAACTATAGGATAATTTAGAAACCAACTTATATCTCAACCATAATATAATATAATTTTCGTTGTTTTGATATCCCGGATTATTATTTGCCGTTGTATACAAAATTTGTAAACATCGACAGGTAGTCAGGTGACAAAATTATTATGAAAAATTCTGCACTCGCTTTGTGTTTTTCATTGCCACCTACCGAGCCATCTACTAATTAGGTCCACAGCTTTATAGTCAATAAATAGTGCTAAATATTATTTGTATACTAGTGTGTTATGAAACACTCTGTCAGCAATAGGGTAAATATGAAAATTCATATTAAAATATTAAAAATATTGCCACACTTTTACAAGGCGGAAGAAATATACTATTCAAGGCTAATACCGAGGCTAATACTCCAAATATCGTATGTGTTATATATTTTCGGAAAGCGCAAAGTACCAATGTTTCAAATATTAAAAAATATACAGGGTGTTTCATTAAAAAAAACGTAACTTTGGGTGATATCTAAATAATAACAGCTCATTTCGAAAATCTGACTACCCCACTGGATTCCACGTGAAAAACTGTGTAAGTGACAGTTTTTACTTTTCCTATAAATTGAAAGATAGCTGAGATACAGCGGGGTCCAAAAATAAGAGATATCCCTCAAGAACATCGAAAATGGGACAGCCTGTACAGGGTGATTCACCATAAATGTACCCCCCCCTCTAGCTCAGTTATTTTTGAACCGATTTTAAAATTTGAAATATTATCTCAAATGATTTTCGATGAAGTTTTTTTCCGCTACATCAGAAAATACAGGGTGCTCGGAACAAACGATCTACAGAGTACTATTTGATTTTTTCAAATGGAACACCATATTTTTTATTGTATTTATAGATTCTCCCGCAAGGGCTGATTTCATTAATGCATCACACTTGGAGTCTAGCGGGAATGATTACAGAGATATAGGGTGTTCAAAATCGAGATTTTTCAACTGTAGGATTTTTTTGTGACGAAACTATTCATTATCGGTCAAAACGGCTCTCATGTCTATATCTCAACTTTTGATTTACTATCTACTGACATTTAATAATTGGAACAGATACAGGGTGATCAGAATTCTGAATATTGAACCACCCTGTAAATGTTTCAATTAAATGTCAGTAGATAGTGAATCAAAAGTTGAGATGGGGACATTGATGCCGTTTTGACCAATAATGAACAGTTTCGACACAAAAAAATCCTAAAGATTAAAAATCTCGATTTTGAACACCCTATATCTCCGTAATCATTCCTGCTAGACCCCAAGTGTGATGTATTGATGGAATCAGCTCTTCAGGAAGATTCTAAAAATACAATGAAATACAGGGTGTTCCATTCGAAAAAATCAAGTAGTACTCTGTAGATCGTTTGTTCCGAGCACCCTGTATTTTCTGATGCAACGGGAAAAAATTTCTGAAAAATCATTTTATATTATTTTTCAAAATTTTAAATTGGTTCAAAAATAAGCGAGCTAGAGGGGGGGACATTTATGGTGAATCATCCTGTACATTCATACAAAGTCAATTGAGACTAGGGCTGCGCGATATTGGATTTCACATATCGATTATCGATAAGTCAAAACATATTGATAGGTTTGATATATCGATAAATATCAATATATCAATATATCGATTTTAATCCACTCCTAACTCAAAATAATTTTATTTTCTCCAAACCGAAGGTCATAGAATCCCCAACCAAACTAATTAAATCAGCATGAAAACTACCTACCTACCTACCTACCTATGCAATATATTTTCATGCCTGAACAAACCTAACAAACTATTATTTGGATAATATAAAAGCGTCTCAGGGTCACACAAATAAAATGAATTTACTTTTTCTAATATATTGAGAACAATATCTATCGACCCTAACATTCACAACATGACCTTTCTGGACAGGGTGTTCTATTTGATAAAATTGACATCATAACTTAAACGTGGATCATAGTGATCATACTGTGAATATATGATTTTTCCTCATAAATGTGACAAATTGAAAATAAAAATCGACCTGTTTCAGGAGATTTCTCAGAGATTGATAGTATAGATAAAAATAAATGTATCCTGAGATGTATACACAACTTTATGAGAGTACTCAATTTAAGGGACACACTGAATACAAACCATGTATGTAATATATTTTTGAAAACAGCTTTCCATGGAGATTCCAAAAATCTAATAATATATACATAGGGTGTTCCATTGAAAAAAATGGTTGCGGTCTCCATAGCTCAAACATTGATCACCCTGTATATTCAATTTTCCGCTCGATTTTCCGTTATCAATATGGCAATTTGAAAATGAAAATCTAACTGTTTCAGGACATTTCTCAGAAACTGATAGTTTGGCTAAAAATGAATTTATTCAGTCCTTCAAGAAAGCACATATACAGTGTGTCCACCTTAAGGATTTACCACCCTTGTAAAATCATTATTATATGACCGATTTCGAAAATGGTTATTTTCTCCGATTGTTCATAAAGATATAGGAGGGTATTATATTTGCAAATTATTACAATTCCCACAATCTCTTTATTTTTCCTGTAGTGTTCAATTAAAATAAAATTGGATAGAAATTGCAGTTGTTCCTCAAATTCTTGTTAAAAGTGTTATGTAATAATTGCTTATAAATGTTAACGTCAAAAGTTTTATTCCCACTGAGTGAAATCACTTTGCTGCCTAGGCAGCAAAGTAACCCTTTTGCTGCCTAGGCAGCAAAGTATCCATTTTGCTGCCTCGGCAGAAACAGTAATACTTTGCTGATTGATTTGTGTCAGCCGGTTTTTCTGGAAATGCCAGCAATTTCATTTTTTTTCAAATGGAACACCCAGGAACATTCTGAATATTTTTACGAAAATTCGATTCCAACAGGTCAAAACAATTGCAATCTTCTGACAAGATTCAGAAATGTTGTTTTCCACAGCTTACTGTGAAAAATTTTCTAACTGCAAGAAAATACATGAAACTATTTGTTGATTTTTTGATGTATACAATAGAGCAGTTCAGCTGAGCGAGAAGAGAAATGTCTTCCCCATCTGTCCTTGTCTTCAGTGTTCCAACATAAAATAATGAAAATTTTATGTTGTCAACACTGGAAATGAGAAGAAATGAAGAAGAAGATTATTCTAACCTTTTTTATACTGAGGTTAATATGATCTTCTTCTCCATTTCTTCCCATTTCCAATATTATTATTTGTTACTGCACAGATACAAAAATGCTAGCAAAAATGATAATTTTTTTCCTTATGTTCCATAGGGGTTACATTTGAAAAAATTGAATTTTTCATCAAAATGTGATGGGACTGAAATGAAATGATTCATCAGAAAAAATTATGTTTCTCCATCATGTGGGCTCATTATTGAAAAGCTATGACCAAAATTCATTTATGGGAGATTTGACATGAAGATTGCACTTGTTTTGACCTGTTGAACTTAAAATATGTGAAAATATACAGAAGTTACAGGGTTGGCCAAATACCCTGTGTCACCAGGTATATATTATCATTAGAATTAGAAACAAAACTAAACTTTTTTGACAAACTAATCATGAATTGAACAGCCATAAACGCCAGCATAAACATCTAATATATCCATTACCTATCATACTTCATATAGATTATAGTTCTTGGAGGGGGGTAATTACCCCCATTGCATCTGTCCCATATCGACTCCCTTGGCACAATCTCTGGCTGCCTCTGGTACCAGTAGTGCTACTCATATTTCAAAAATCTCAGTTTCAATTGACTTTCTATGAACTATACCAAAGATCCTCAGTATTTCAAGTACAATACAATACTCCAGGCAATACTGGAGGCAATATGACTCTTGGAAATTCAAAATTGAAAGAAAGTGAATTATCAGTTCAGGACCATTATTAATTTTCATTTAATTGGTCATTTGGTGATTTATGGTTCACTGGTTGGTTAATTTTTCTGTCAAAAGGTAATACCTAGTTCACCCTTGTACACCCTCACAGCTCACAGCAATAATAAAGACATTTATATTATAATTTAAGGAACAGATTATACTTACGGTTCTGCTTCTATACTCTTCAACTTAGCAACATAGTTGGAAGGAATGTAGCCTTCTTGTCTGGTTCGTTTGCTCCTTGCAAGCCACCAATCACCTTGGGTGTCATTTAATATCTCTAAATGTTCACCCTTTCGAAAACTAAGGTCCTCGTCAGTTCTAGCATCATAATCATATAAAGCTACAAAAATTCTAGCACTAGTTTGTTCAGGCTCAGTATTATTGATAACAGGAGGTCTTGGTACTTCTGAAGGAGGAGTAGGAATAGGATTAGGTTGTAATGTGTTGTCCTCTATAGGATTCACGCCCAGCCTAGTATTTCTCTCAATTCTATCTGTTGTTGAAGGGCTGCTGAAACAATTGCCCATTTTGAATTGTTTTAGTCTGTTTTAGCACTTTCACTTGTTATTACACAGGAATCATCACCAGCAAATTAATTTGCCTTCTTGTCCACGAAACAAAGGTATAATTCCACAGGAATCTAACCAGAAAAAATACCCATTGCTCACAATCGTTCACCTCTTTAATCTAAAAACAGGAATAAGGAGTATATGGAAGAGAATAATAATAATAATAAAATCTCAAAATTTGACATTTGACCCTTGCCCTTGAGATTTCAGTGGTATGTGTCAGACACATATATCTACTACTCATATATGAAGCAAAGCTCTCCTCAAATCGGGACCAATTTCTGTCTCTAAAGGTATCGAAATCGACCAATAGGCGTTGATGCCGACGTAGGGAATAAATAATACGAAATTTATAGATTTATAGCACCTCTCATTTTGGTCCCATTTTTGTTGAGATTCGTATAGGCGATGCGCCATATTTAGAAATAGTACATATTTGGGTAAAACTGACTCGCACTGAGTGCATATTTTGTATTCCATTGGTAAAGCTGGTGTCGGGTTTTGAATCCCATTGTAGAACACAGATTCGTACAATTCTCGCACGAGCTCTAAATATATCGTGCGAAGTCAGTGCAGTTTTGAAAATGACGGAAGAATTAATAATGAAATGAATTGTTGGTGGCAATCTTATAATCATCGATAGTGATAAAAAGTTGGAGGTTTCAAAGAAATAAAGGAGATTGCTTCCCAGTATTCATAATTTTTTCGATATTTTTTGCACTAATTCATTGTTGAAGAGGTACAGTCGTAGTCAGTAAAAAAGCGTGCAAGCATTAAACATAGAAGATTACGGCATTCTAGTTCTCGTTGTGTAAAATTGGCCCAGCCAATGCTTTGTGTTTTTGAGAACCTATGATTACTCTACTGTCAACATTTGGTGAACATTCATTCTCGATAGCCCGTTTAACGCAAATAGGATGACGTTAATTTCTCCCTCCAATATACTTGTACGCTTTTTTTTAATACGACTGTACAACTGAATAAAGTGCTCAAAACTATTTCCATGAAACATCTACTAGAATTTCAGGATGGGGACAAATTATAAACAAAGACAAACCAACTCATCCGATTCAACCTACAACAATAATTTTTTTTTCGTATTCCCCAAGGTAATGGCGGCTAAATATTTAGACTGCCTGACAGGTGATCCGTCAGACAGTCTAGATATTTAGCCATCATTGCCCTGGGAATGCACCAGTTCACATTTTGGAGTAGATTCCTAATGAAGAAAGAAACATTTTTATCCGTTTCGGAATTTTTGTCCGTGCTTTCATTTTCAAGATACAGGGCGTCAAAATAATACAAAAAATGTGTCCTTTGCTACTATCTCAGGAACCGTTTGAGCTACGGAGTTAAGCCTTCGTAAACACTTCATCATCAATAATGACTACTCTTAGGGCTCTTGATCAATTTCCTTGGATATGTCACTGGAGGAGAATTCAACGCCTCGTAAGGTTTTAACCCTCCAAACATTTATTCTAAAGTGAACAGTTTCTGCGAAAAATGGCTCTTTATGAATAAGAACATACAAAATCCTGATGGTATCTCCAAAAATCGTCTAAAAATCCAATGGATATGAACACCTCAGAACTGTCTAAGAATATCTTCAATCAAATGTCAGGTTCTTGAGTATGCTGGTCTCAATGCTGGTTTTCAAATTGTCAAGTTTATTAAGTGTTGTAAAGTGTGTTTGATTGAACTGAACATTTTTTATCTCTTGACGCCATGTATCTTGAAAACGGAAGCCTAGAGAAAAATTTTGAAGAGGATAGAAATGTTTCTTTTATTATGAGAAATCTACAGTTCTCCGTTGTGACACTAATTTATTAACCATCTGCATATGTCTTATAATTCTTTTATTCACTCAAGCCATTGTAATATAGAAAATAGAAAATGACAGAAGTTCAGCTGTATCCGAACTCTTATCTAACAAAAACAAATACTAGGGTCCCTTGGTGCAAACTGACGTATTTGTCATCTTAACTGACTTTAACGTCAATTTCCGTCAAGGGACCCTAACAAATACCATCTAGTGACTCTAGTACAGTGTAGTGCATCTTACACGACACTGAAAAGCAGACGAAAGATCCTTGGACGAAAGGCACCTTCAAGGTTACTTTTTTGACATTTCATATCCTAATGACATGAGTCATTTTGTCATTTTTTATGTCATTTTCATGGCTACATGAAAAAGTCAAAAAAGTGTGCAAATTTGTCATTTGAAACTTGAATTTCTTTTCTTGGTTCCCAGCTTTCATGAGCGTTTATCAAAATTATTTTCACTGTAAAGGACGTTTATGGTTATTAAAAAATCACGAAAAATCAAGTTAAAAATGCAACCCTGAAATAACTCCCAATTATGGATCAATGTGACACTGTCCTTGAAGAGGGAGAAGTAGGTAGAAATGTTTGTTCATCATTTAATAAATCATTATTTTGCTGTTTTTAAGATTGCTAATGCTTCGGATGAAGATTATACACCTTTGGAAAGGCCAGCAAATTACTCTTGTTCCCTACCTCAACCTAGGCTTCCACTGAACCTCGTCTCTGAGAGTGAAGAGGAATGGCAGTCCAGTGATAGCAGTAGTGACTCAGATTCAAAAACAAAAAACAGAAAAAAGCCCAAAATTAAGTTGAGGCCCCCAGTTCCATCTCAGCCTACTGATGATAAAAGAAAGAAGTATGACATTTGGAGTACTAGGTTGGAAGGAGAAAACCTTTCAGAAACGCTTCTCAATAGCCTTGATGTAATTAAGAAAGATAGATCCCGTTTTGTGGAATCATATGACTATACTTTAGCATATAAGTATTATGAAAATCAAACTGACCAAACCAACAAAGAAAAAGTTAGAACAAACAACAAGAGAACAAGAGATGACAGGAATAATGTGAATTTTAGACAAAGGAAAAGGTCAAGCAGTATTGAGAAAATCAAAGGAACAACAAGAAGTATCCCAAATTTAAAATCTGACATAAATAGTACTGCTGAGGAGCTAGCTAAAGATATAGCAAACAAATTATGTGAGGAGAAAGAAGACTTAATTTGTGAGTACACTCATCTAATACAAGTACATTTATGATAAACTACCGAATAATGAACATAAATGGTATATTAACATAGGAAAAAACAATATTTTACTTTCCTTCTGCTATTATAGATATATTGATAAAAGCATTGATGATCATTGTGTAAATTAGCATGGTCTGTGATGTGGTCAGTGCTGTCACAGATCAATATAAGGTTATTTACTGATACTTCCTTCTTCATAGAGAGTACTTCCAGCAAAGCACTAGCTCAGATGAAAGTGTTCCTGACCACCATGGAGGTGGCTCAGGTTTAACCCCCATGAGGCCTAACTTTTTTTAAATTTTTTCACAAATAGTTTTTCAAAAAATATACTTCTCAGGAGAAAGGTTTATTTAGGCGAGTTAGGTTAGTTTGAAAAAAGTAGTCTCCTTTTTTATGCAGAAACGATATTTTCTTTCCTCATGTTTCATGGTTCATGGTGGTCTTCTATATAAAAATAGGTAACCGCCGGCGGTTGTTTCTCAGTCAGTCCATTTCATTCAACGCATCATTGTTGCAAGGTCGTTTGCCGGTTAATTTCGAACATCCACCTCTTCAATTAGGATAGCTTCTAATGATTTTACACATTATTTTCCGAGTTGCTCTCAACGAGCCCTTTCATTTGATACCCATATTGTAGAAGTGAATTAAAAATAACTATTTCGTCATCTTGGATAGTCCGTCATATTGGATTTAGAATGACGTCACATTAATTTTCGAGTTACTCTCAACAATCCCTTTCATTTGATACCCATAATGTTTTAAAATAACTTACGTCGTCCTGGATGGTCCGCCATATTGGATTCAAAATGACGTCACATCATTTCTTGAGTTACTCTCAACAAGTCCTTTCATTTGATACCCATATTGTGAAAGTGCATTAAAATAACTATTTCGCCATCTTGGATGATCCGCCATTTTGGATTCAGAATGACTTCACATTATTTTTCTAGTTACTCTCAACAAGTGCTGTCATTTGATACCCATATTGTGGAAGTGCATTAAAAATAACTATTTCGCCATCTTGGATGGTCCGCCATATAGTATTCAGAATGACGTCACATTATTTATCGAGTTACTCTCAACAAGTCTTTTCATTTGATACCCATATTGTGGAAGTGCATTATTAATAACTATTTCGCCATCTAGGATGGTCCGCCATATTGGATTCAGAATAACGTCACATTATTTTTCGAGTTACTCTCAACGAGCCCTTTCATTTGATACCCATATTGTAGTGCATTAAAAATAAATAATCCGCCATCTTGGATGGTCCGCCATATAGGATTTAGAATAACTTCACACACCTTATCTTGATTGTCATCCAAACTAAACGTGTATGCAAAATTTCAGCTCAATCGGTTGAAGATATCTACTTCAAAATTGAGTTCAAAAAATTCCACCCCAACTAACATACATCCATACATTGCAAGTTGAATAAGAGCTTTTCTAAAAATTAAAAAAAGTCTCTCACTTCTTCATGGAGTTATTGACCTTGAAAGTTCCTGCAAGTCCATACATAGTATCTACTCACCATTACTAATCTCTTCCATGGTGCTTCCAAAGTATTACACACTGTCAAAATAATTTTATTATGAATATGACTGCAACTCCTATGATGTTATTAAATTAATAGAGTTCTTATTAAATTTTGAAATGGGTGGGATGTATGTTTTTTAAATGCGATTTTCTCTAGAATGGTACAAGATATCAATTGAAATAAAGTATACCATTTTTGTAGAATACTATATTGTGCAACAAGTGGGGAAAGTTCACCTTTTCTCACGAGTGTGAAAGTTTGTGGCACGAGCCTGAAGGGCGAGTGATGCAAACACACGAGTGAAAAGAGTACTTTTCCCCACATGTTACACACTATACTTTTTCAATAAATGCACTTATCCAAAGAATCCAAGTAATGTAACTTATTGGTATTCATTTCATAATGTGGCACTATGCCTCATTGAATATTTTGGCCCAAGAGTAGACGCCCTTTCTAGTTCCTCAAAGTATTTAAAAAGGTACACTTTCCGAAGAAGATTTTATTTCTGTATTATTTTTAGATTCCATAAATTTTTTGTATATGCCAATTCAAACTTTTTTCTTGAAATTTCTGGAAAGAAATCCAACTTTGGCAGCTTTTTCCATTCTCTCTGTCTCTCGCGGTGTATTAATAAAAATCGTCACATCTCGGTATATATACATCATATTAATTATTATGAATTGTTGGAATAATATTTGATGGAAACTGCGATTTCTATCGAAAGCACTAATGAGAACTACCCTAAAGAATTTAAAAATCTTCTTCTGACAGTTGTGACAACTATTCAAAGCTGAACAGCAGCCAATTAAGTTTTGGTCGATTTTTGTTGATTCTCCATGGATATGTATGTAGTGTTGGCAAAGTCCCGTGAGAAAAAATATTTCTCATAGTATGAGCAATACATGGTTTTGAAACTAAGTAAGCTATGAGAAATGCGCTACTTTTCATAGGATGGAAGCAAACTGTCAAATTTGTCAAAAATACCTCCATTAAACGGAAAAAATTCGTCTTATCCACCCATCCTGTATAAAACATAATCACTGAACAGCTGTTTGTATATGGAAAGGAGCATTGGTATGAGTTAATTTAGTTTCCAGAATATCATTGGCAACCATTTAAAAGTTATACATGGAATATATTTTATATATATTTATATTTATATATTGCATTTGCTGATGATGAAATTCACATCTCTCTTTCACAAGTATTGACCATAAGCCATCAAACCACCAATGGGATATAAAATCATACATATTGTAGGGTGCACTATTTGAAAAATTGATATGAAGAAAGTTTGAATTTCGTGAAAATCATATAATATTTCTGACCACCCTGTATAACTTTCGGAGAAGATGAGTATTTCATATGATAGAATATGCCACCGACTACCAACAGTCTTGAATGATTCCATAAATTCTTAGTAGTATGAATAATGGGTTTGTCTATAAAAAAAATGTCTGCATTCCATGAAATACTGGTATATAAATTGGCAACGCCTTGTGGGATTTTCAAAAATAAAAAAACTGATAATTAGCCTAGAGGGATGAGAATTTAGATATGTTGAAATATATGGGGTGTTCCATATGAAAAAAATGATGTTCGATTTTGTGAGCCTTCCTTGCGCCCCTCGTATAAAATTTAGTCATTCCAGAAGTTAGCACTCATGATGCGATATGATGTGGAATTATAATATTTTGAAAATTCCTATTGGTTCAGGAGATATTCAACTGTCCCACTGGTCTAGGGTGTTGGGTTTCTTTGTAATATGTTGATATGATTGTTGTAATATTTGAAGATTTATAATAATTATATCTTGTAACAGACTTTTTTGTATTTTTATTCTTTTATTAATGAATTGACAACTTCTTGACAATTACAGACAAATGACAATAGTGACAACTTATTACTTGAACACATTCCTACCAACTCACTATACAAAACAACATAATCTGACATCTGACAAATGTTTACCAACCCAACACTCCCCCGTAAACATTGGAAGATTGGATATGACAATAACATAAATTATTTATTAATAATGTAGTGGCTCTTTAGAAAATTTGTCAAATTTTAAGATAGGCAATGGCTTAGTAAACATATCACTGACATTTTCTTCTGATGGTACATATTTCATATTGAAAAGTCCTTTATAGAATTCATCTTTTATAAAAAAATATTTAACTTCGATATGCCTACTTGATTTTAATCTTCCTGCTTTGATCAACTTGATTGTGCTCTGGTTGTCAATGTGGAGTGTTGCTTCAACTTCTTCTCCTGTCAGCTCTTTCAGTAACTCTGAGAGGTACTTCAGTTCTTTGGTACATTCACATGCGGCAATGAGTTCTGCTTCCATGGTTGATTGTGCCACCACACTTTGACGCTTGGAAGACCATGATATAGGTCCACCAAAGAGGGTGATCACATATCCTGATGTGCTTTTTCTTCTTATTTCTTTGGTCTGGTCTGTTTCTCTTGAATTAATATCTGCTGCGAAATCTGAATCACAAAATGCATACAGATGTAAGTTTTGTTCAGATTGTTGTTCACTGGTGTAGAAAATTCCTGCATCTGGTATTCCTTTTAAGTATCTCATGGTTCTCTTCACGTTTGTATAGTCTTGTTTCTTTGGTTTCTCCATGGAACGGCTTTCAAAATTGACTGCAAAACTAAGATCTGGACGTGTCTTACAAGATAGGTAAAGTAAGCTTCCAATTGCTTCTCTGTAATTAAATCTTGGTTCTTCTGAGTATTCTTCTTCATCTTCAGACTTGTAAATGTCTTGAGATATAGGTGTCTTCATTGATTTTGAGTCTTGCATTTGGAATCTATTAAGAACCTTTTTAGCATAGGTTCCTTGTGAGATAATAATTCCCCCATCAGTCTTTTCAATATCCATTCCCAGGTAACTCTTTGGATGCTCAATGAAAGTCATTTCAAATACTTTCACTAGTTCATGTTTCAAATTGTTGATTTTTATTGCATCTCTTCCATCATCCACATGTATACCTAGGTATAATTCACCATCTTGTGATTTAAAAATGCATTGATCTGCTTTCAATTGTGTCATATTTTGTTCTCTAAGAAATGCAGAAAATCTTTTGTTCCATTGACAAGGTGCTTGTCTTAAGCCATACAATGACTTGAGAAGAAGGCACACTTTGCCTGGTTGACTGAAACCATCTGGCACTCTCATATATAGTTTATCTTCCAATTCGCCATATAGAAAAGCTGTTTTGACGTCTAAGGTTTGTATAATCCAGTTTTTCTTTGCTGCAATTGCAAATAACAGTCTTAGAGATGTTGTGTCCACCACTGGACTGTAGATATCTTTGTAGTCCATGTTTTTCTTGTCTTGAATACATCCTCTCGCTACCAATCTTGCTTTATGCTTTCCATTTTCTTTTATTCTAAAAACCCATCTGCTTGATAGTATTTCTT